CTCTCTCTCTCTCTCTCTCTCTCTCTCTCTCTCAAACTCTTCTATCGCCACGAAAATCCACAAATCGCTAAAGGTCTCGCTGCTCGCAATAGACATGATATGATATAACTGATTTTGCTTTAAAATATTATGTATTAGGTTGAGGTATTGCCATAGAATAAGACAAAAAATGTAAATTTTCATTTTCACAGTAACACACTTTGTCGTCGACAATCATATTTTTAATTCAAACACGTTCAAAAATAACACTTGTATTTGACTCAGTTGTTTGAATTACTTCATCAAATACAAATATTTTTAGTCCAGTTTTTAATTTAAATATTTGAAATACAATTAATTAATTTTAAATGCAATGGTATTTGTAGTAAATTATTTAAAATATATCTGTATTTCATTAAATAAATTGAAATACTTCTATCAAATAAATTTTAATTTCAAATAGATTATTTAAAGTTCGTTGACCAAATGTTATTGTATTCTAAGCTTTTTGTATTCAAAACATTTTATTTTAAATGTTATATTTGAAATAAAGTATTTAGATTTTTTGAACTCAGTTTTATGTTTTTAAAATATTTCAATTAAAACGCCATCAGTATTGGTTAAAATAATGAAAGATACTGTAATAAAAATTTTAAGCAATTATTACTTAATATTAAAAAAAGTTTTATTTAATTAATTAAAAAGTTTTTTTTTCAAATAATTAAAACGATTTTGCCCAAGTCTGTATACATACAAACATACATACAGAAATACATATTAGAATCGACAAAAGTCTTAGCTCCCATTCACTCTTTATTAGCTCTCCCTTGATTTACACAGTTATTTAATTATTTTTAAGTGGTTCTTGATCCAGCTTTATTCGGACAAGCTCTCCTCCACTTAATCAAAGAATCCCACAATCTCTTGCTGCACCATGTAAGTAACCTCTTTCTAATCTATCCCTAGCGGCTCTAAGGATACAATTTCTTATCCATTGAGAACTTAACAAAACTTGTAAAATAAAAATATTTCATCATCAAAAAAAGTAAGCTCTTAGAACAAAAATTATATGTAGAAACGCCTTTATTCTATAGACAATTAGAGAGGCTATTCTACACATGACTTCTTTTGTGGTTTTTTTTAATAAAGAAAATTTTTTTCTAGTACTTAAATGATCAACTTATAGTTCTAGTTTCTTTTAAGTTTGTGGCTAAAATTTGTTTGATAATAGACGGTTCGAATAATATCATTTAATATTCAATTTTGTAGATATTTTATAGAACAAATCTTTGTTAGTTGAACTTGACTCATGTTGACACTAGCTGCATCATGTTATTTATAAGGTGAATCATCCAAAAGATAAAGAGTAGTAAAATAAAAAAATACTTAAATTTATTAAACATAGAAAAAAAGGTAATAACTACTTAATTTTACAAGTGTATTTCTACAATATACCAAAAGTACATAATTAAATTTTTTTTAAACAACGATCTATTTATTTTAATATATTGTTTACTAGAAAGAAATGCAAAAAATCTGACA